TGATAAACAAAGGCCAACCCCATTGTTTTAAACCAATTTTCCTAAGGTTGCCAATGATAGCATAGATAAAAAACTAACAACTAAAAAAACCGTAAAATTGGAGAGGAAACATGTTTTTTGAACCTGTATTGGATGGTGGGATTTTGGATTGAAAAACATTTAAAATGATTCCAAGGGTATCCTAAGTCAATCATCCCCCCCAATTATTTCCCCCCACAAAGGGGATAATTTTTCACCTTAAAAACTTTAAACAATTGGTTAAAACCTTGTACGGGTTCGGTGGCGCTTAGAAGGTCCCCCACCAAAATCCATTCTTGATTAGTTAACCCACTCATTCTGGGGAACCACAATTTAATGTATTTTTTTATTTGTTTTTTTCTATATTCCTCCCCCATAGCCCTGCCTTTCTTTTTCTATTATGTCAGAGAGAGTTTGCAGGTCGCAGTTCCTCATGAGCGTAAGTTCGACGTGACTTTGTCCACACAGGAAATCCGGACTGTAAATGCAGATATATGTATATTGAATATATTTGCACAATTTTGCATTTAGATTTGCCCACTATATATGTGCATGGTATGTGTTGCTTGTGCGGAGGGCTCTTATGTGGTTTCTGTGGAGGTCAGAACGATTCAGCAGAGGAAACACTTATCAGGCCGGCTTTACTTCTATAATCTTGCTCAGGGCCCATGACGATCAGGCACCTGCCTAGCAACAAGTTATGTACCGTTCCAATCCGACGGTCTCTTAAAAAGGTTGCTGCAGGTGCAACATTTAACTTCAACAAATAGGTCGAGCGTTCTACAGTTGAGGTTATTGCTCGCAGATCCAAATCATACCCTAGAGTTTAAAGTCACAGTGCTATATTACATAAGTTTGCTTTACTTGCTGGTCATAAAACACGCTTTGTAACGTTTTTTGTATCCTATAAATGCTAAATCTACCCACCTCACTGGCCACTGCGCTTTCTGATCTTTACAGTTCACTCACTGGGGGACTACCAAAAATAATAGTTGTTGTTGAATGTTTAATAATAAACATTTCATTCATCTTTTGAAAATACCCAATAAAAATGGTCCTCTGGCAACTATCATATTAGTAATTTGTTGGCTGACATTTTAACAAGCTTCTCCTTTTTTTACAGACACATATGCTCCGAAACAGTTACCGGATCTCTGTTTTAATGCGTAATTATATCAAATCTCCCCTTCTGTTCCAGGGTAGGTGGGAGGTCGTCCTCCTGGAGGAGAGCGTACACATTCAGCGTGAGGAGGTTGACTTTTGGCTACAATCCACGACCCCACCCTTCCCTCCCCCTCTCCTCCTCCCCTCCCGACTGGCACAGAGAAGAGTGTGAGAGACTGAGCGAGGGAACGTGGGAAAGAGGAAGACAATGTACCAAACCCTGCTTCTTTCCTCCTCCCTTTTCATCCTTCACGTGATGGGCACGCCGCAGTTCTTCGCTCACCACGGGTAACGGCTCACTTAATGCTCTTCCTGTGTTTATTATGGCCTGTCGATTGGTCAGTGTGGTCCCTCAGTGGAGCACGGATCTCGCCTTCAGCTGTCAGTCAGACCTGTTTGTCTTAGCGACCTCTTCGACATTCTCGCCCACTGCGAATGTATACAAAATGGTCGAATGACGTTTAAACATTTAAGAGCTCTCGAGGGGCCGAAGCTCTAGTCTTCTGTCCCAGGCTATTAGGCGCACAGCATTACGGGGGAGTCAGCAGGCTCATCTTGTCATTTTCAGTTGATTTGCACAAAGACCAAAATAAACTGAAAGCTAAACTAAAAGGTCAAACGGAGCCAGAAGAGGTCAAAGATCAACTCTCAACTCTGACACATTCAGGAGTAATCACACGGGTCAGTCAGGAGCAATTAGGCTGCACGCCAACTTTTGCTGACAAACAGAAAGCATGAGGCTCTAATGTGGAGTTTTTCAAGCTTTCTGAACCAGATGGGAGCCACTTAGGGCTAAGTACTTAAACTTCTCATCTAAAACTAGCACAGCTTCCGGTGCCGACACTCTCTGAAGCCAAAATTCTGCATTTCAAGTTTTAATGTCCAATCGCCTGTCTTCCTTTTTTTGCAGAAGGAGGGTGTGTGGCCGAGACCTCCGTCACAGCGTTGTCATGGCAACAGAGTCATACGTCCAGCCGGTGCACAAGCCCTACATCACCCTGTGTCAGGGGCATCGCCTCTGCAGCACATACAAGTGAGTCTGCCGGCGCACAACAACACGCTCCTCGGCGAATAACAACGAAATCTGGACGTGGCCGGCTTTTGTTTGGGGAGGGCGAACCCGAGCTGAACTGCACAGCTCAGGGATTTATATCAGGACCCGGGTCACTGCCGTGTCAGAAACATGTTCTAATTAAGCCGCCACAAGATGTTTATTTAATGGAGAGGTAAACAATGCTCGACATGTTTAGGAAGGGAAAGGGTTCGACGTGCAGTCGTAAATAGCTTAAATAGACATTCTCACACACACACACACACACACGTTTTACACAGAATTGGGTCATGGTGGCACATATTTGGGTGGAATATAAATATCGAGTACTTTGTGTAACTACGGGAAATGAACTGCCTGCCCACAGAGACCGCGGTCATGTTTATTTTGGCCTGCGTCTCCCCCCCATACTTACGCACTCTCGATCTCTCTCTCCAGCTCCGATGCTTTCGAGTCCCCCCTTACATTCCCTCCGTTTTAATGTTTTCCTTTAACTCTTCCCTCACCACCAAAATTCCCTTTCTTTTTTTTTCATTCTTGTACTCATTATGTGGGCAGGCCTCAGACAATTACAGGCTTCTCAGCCCTTGGTGATTCCCCTGACTTTGATTACATTTTTTATTTTCAGAAACCCCATCTCTCATTGCTTTCGCTTTGTTTTTAGCCCTTGCCTCAGTTTATCACCTTGTATCTCTTGCAAAGCAAACATACCAGAGTCTCGGCAGCGAGATCTCAGACTTTAGATCTGACTTTGCCTCTCTTCTCCTGCCCCTTTCTCCCTCCCTCCATCCCTATCTCATCTCTGACACACTCTTGGACGTCAGTGGTTTGCGGTTTCAATATTCCATAAAATTCCCATTCTCTCATCAGCTTTCTCTCGGTTTGACAGAACATGGAAAAGGCTGGATGGGCTCAACCACACACACACACACGGGCGGGCGATGACAGCATTATGACCAGGAAAACCCGTCTGTGTTTTGTCTCCACAGGACTGTGTACTCAGTGGCGTACCGGCAGGTGACCAGAGCAGCACCTCCTTCGCATTTCTACCCAGAGTGCTGCCCAGGCTGGCAGAGATTTCACTCTCACAACTGCAACCAAGGTAATCTGGAGGGAGGAGGGAGGGGTGTATGTGTTGAGCCGTACCTGCATTACCTGCATCTGTTAGTAGTGGAAAAGTGATAGTTTATTTTGGAAAACGTGCATATTCATGTTCTTGTCGTCACCACTCTCATATGGTAAACATGAAGTGACAGCCAAGAGACTTAGCTGAGCTTAGCATAAAGACTAGAAGCAGAGAGAAACAGCTAGCCTAGTTCTGTCTAAAGGTTAAAAAAAAAAACAGAATGTAAAACCAAAACAAGTTATGGTTTTATGGTGGTTATGTGCTGGACTATTTCTTCTTCAGGAAGTCATGGTTTCCAGCCAAGAAGTGGTCCTGCACATACACTCCATAAAACTACAAATTGACACTTTGGATTTTGTACACCATGAACCAATGAGATATAATGTGTTTCCAGTCTTTATCCTAGGCTAAGCTAACTGTCTCCTGGCTGTAGCTTCCTATTAGCTTTCAGATAGTGGTATTTATCCCCTCATCTCTCAGCAAGAAAGGGAATTAATGTGCATCGGGCACATTTCATGTGTTGTTTTTTTTATACGTTTTTTTTGTACAGATCAAACAAAGTAGATTTAATGACTTAATTAGAGAGCTTTAAGGCACTGGTAGGCAGATTTTAGACAGCCAGGTTAGCTGTTTCCCCTTGCCGCCAGTCTCTATGCTAAGCTAAGCTAACCGTCTCCTGGCTGTAGCTTCACATTTAGCACACAGACATGACTCGTCTAACTCTCGGCAAGAACAAGAAACATTTCCCCAAATGTTGAATAATTCCTGTAAATGTGTCTCTTGCAGCTGTGTGTGGACAACCCTGTGTGAATGGAGGTACCTGCTTAAGACCCAACCAGTGTGCCTGTCCGCTTGGCTGGACGGGGCCCCAATGCCAAACAGGTAAACACACGCACACATCTACCTGCACAGCCACACAAGTCTCTGCGAGCATACACACACATATAAACCTATTTCTTTGTCCTTCCTGTCCGTCAGATGTGGATGAGTGTAGCGAGCAGCGGCCATGCGCCCAGGAGTGCGTGAACACAGCTGGCAGCTATCGATGTGCGTGCAGAGGAGGCTTCAAGCTTTCCGGAGATGGCCGTTCCTGTCAAAGCCTTCCTCCTCCTCCTCCTCCTCCTCCTCCTACCAAGCCTTCTCCTCCCACCCAGACCAGCCAGGCAACAGTGGGTGGTCACACGGATGCGGGTAAATGAGCAGCACAGGAGTGTGCGTGCATACACATGGTATAATTTTGTGTCCTGCAGCAGCAAAGTGTCTGGAGAACAGAAGAAAAGAGCATAGCCAGCTTCGCGGTCCATTATTACTTTTGGTACGCGCTATGCCACTCTCAACTCGTACCGTGAGTAATAATGCACTGCGACTGGTGCCGACTCCAGATAGATGTCTTGTGGTCTGGCCCCGTGCGGTGAGACTGGGACCAGTTGGTCTTTGATAATGACTCGGTTTACTCCTTTGAGTCCTGTGAGTATAGCAAACATCTGAGTCTAATAGAATTCCCATGCTAATACAGACATATTTTTATCCCGCACACTCCATTAGTTCGCTTAAAAAATGTTGCAATGTTGTCTCTTACCATGAAAAAGTCGATTTTTGTGTGCTTCCTGTATCGTAGCAACAAAATAATACAACCCCCCTTCATGTCTGCAGACATAGTAGTTGACCCCACAGCATTCCTTTTCTGTGTCAGCGTTATTACTTTTTTGGGAATTCATGCAACATGAGACCTTAAAGAAGACCTCCCTTTTCTGAATTCTCCCAAATGTTTCCACCTATGGGGATTTTTTGTGAGTCACAAAACTGTAATTCTAAAGGGGATACTGTCCGACTGTCAGAAAAAAGAAATATCTCTATATAAATGTGAGATTGCCAAATTTCTCAGGCTCTGCTCCAAACTCCCTCCGATTTATCAGCATTTCTGTCGAGAAGAAAGACCAAATTCACACAAAATGGAACCCCTCCGCTAAAATGAGACCATTCACTCCCACGACTCCACACGAGAGTCCTTGCAAGTATCGCCGAGTCATCAAAAAGACAGAAAAACACACAAAGAAACGGGGATGAAAAGCCAAAATATGACAGCTCTGTCTACATGGTGAGAGCGACGGAGGGATCATTCGTGGGAGCGTGTTGAGTTTCACCGCTCAAGCTTTCAGATGCAAAAAATGCAAGGCCAGCAGAGATGTTTTGCTTGAGACTGCATTCCATTATCTGTTCATATGTCATACGTCAGAGGGATGTTTGTGAAGATCACACAGGTTTAAATGCTCGAAAAGTAGACCCTCGCTCCGACTCTCTTCCAGGCTGCTGTGGAGGAGTGTTGGACTACATCTCCATCTCACTCCTTTTCCCCCCTCCATGACTCTCTTTTTCACTGCGCTCTTGGCCAACACTTGTGTTCTCATTCCAGCTCCATCAACCCTGTCTGCTGGGGGTCATCGCCAGATC